TTTAAAAAAATATAAATAAAATTTTGAGTATACTCTAAGGTATTACTGATTTTCCATGCCTTTGGATTCCATTTATTTTAAGTTTTGATTGTTGTTTGGTATTTTCCCTTTTATTTTATATTTAAAACTTTTTTAAAATCATTTTCTTATTACCTTTTGTTTTAAATTGCAATTTTATTTTTGTATGTGTACTGGCTGATCTTGGATCATATGAATTTTAGTCATAAGCTTATTAATATTATTGGATCTTGGGTTTTGACTTTAACTCCACCAAAATGGATGAATGATTTTAATGATAACTCGATTAATTCATTGGTTCAAATGTGAGATTTAACTCTTTATATATTTGTACTTCATTCCCCTTCCTCTTCATATCATCCCTTTCTTCTTTCATTTTAAATGATCATTCGCGGCCCAAGCTTTAGGTTTAAAATTGTTCAAGTATGATTGATTATTGAACCATGGTTCAAAACCTTTGAAGCTTGTTGTTAGGAGGCTTTGATTTTATCAATCCTCTAACAAGTCTTCATTAACTTTGACATAAATTCAATCTTCAATCATCATTGATCATTTATTACGAAATTCATCTTTTTCTTCTTATTTTCTTTTTACCATGACTTAGGTCTTGATCTTTGTTTTTACTTGTGCTACACGTTGTAGGATCTTTATTTCTACCATGTCTCTAACATGTATGGTACATACATTGTTATTTACCGCCTCAAAATAGGTGTGACTTCTACATAAGTCCACTTACGATTGCTTAACATAACTCTAAATTTGTCTCAATTCGGAAAATGATCATTCGTGGTCTAAATTTTATGTTTGTAAGCCCAAGTATGGTTGATTGGTCATCTTTAGTCCAATACCTATGAAACTTATTGTTAGGAGGCTTTGATTTTATCAATCCTCTAATAACTTTTCATTATCATTGGTCTAAGATCATCATTCAATCATCGTTGATCATACTTTGTGACTATTAACAACTAACTTATTAACCATTAACAATTAACTTTACTTTACGCCTTTATTTTATGCATTTTTATTTTAAGCCTTTACTTTTATTCACTTTTATCTTTAGCATTTATATCTCATATGATTTGTCATTTGCTCACTTGAGCATTGATTTTTATGTAATTTTATCTTTGCTCACTTGAGCTTTTATTTTCTTCTTAAAACACTTAATAATCAACTTGAACATTAAAAGACTTAAGGCTCTTCTTGGACTATTGGTTACTATCCTTGGCATTTTGGGGTTGTGGATCTCTTGGACATAGGATTAGAAGCCTTTCCCAGATGCTTTAAGACCTTGAGACCTTTGGACCTTGTGTTATTTCATTGTTATGTTGTTTGTATTGGGAAATCTTCTGTGTGCATATGTTATTCTATTGGTCTTAAGTGATCTATATGGTACATGGCTTAATATTGTAGACCTTGCTTTGGGTTTTAAAATCTTGGGGGTTTCTTTTATACTTCTTTGCTTGTGATTTATTTTCACATGTATGATTGGTATGTTTTTGGTCTATTTGGTACTTGTGATTTTTAATCCAAAGGATGGTAATTCTACATTGACATCATAATCTCAAGTGTTGGCTTCTTGTTTGTTAGATCCTTCCTTACCTTAGTTTTACTTTGTGTACATAGGATAGTCTCTTCATCTCCTCCCATTCTTATTTAATTTTCTAAATCTTCTCCCTTTTTCAAAGGATTCTTGTTTTCTAACTTGAACCGCTTTCATGATAAACTTGGACTTAGGTCCATGCATTTTCAAAAACATTTTTCTTAATAAAATGTTAATCAATTTAATCATACTTTGACATCTTTTTGAAAGACTAAAATTAATTAACCCCATTCAAAATTTTTACCGCTTTGTCTTTTCTCTTTAAAAACTTATTCTTAAAATTAACCAACACACAAACTTTTCAAATTTTTTGAGAAGAACTACGAGTGCCCTGATCCCCTACTGCAAAAAAGGTGGTATGTAGGCACAAAAGTTTGCAACTGCGGCGGGAGAAAAATTGTATAAACCACTTATTTTCTCATCTCCATCATCTATTTTGTAAATATTTCTTCTATAGCCCAAATACACATATTTTCAAAGAGGTTCTTGCGGAGTACCGTAGATGTTTATGGTGCTAATACCTTCCTTTTGCATAATTCCCCCTTACCCCGATCTCTATTTTACTTTGGGTTTATTCGCTCTTTTTCCCAATCAATTGGTTAAAATAAAAGTGTGGTAGCGACTTTCATTGATTTACAAGTTAAGTCAATCCAATGGCTTAGTCTCAACATTTCTACGGCTACACACACCAGTCCAAGACTTCCTTGCTCAATCACACATGAAAGAGACTTCCTTAGCTAAACCCTCAATTCAGGACTTCATTTCCTAAACACACTCGTTCAGGACTTCCCTGCTAAATCAAACTAGAAAGAGACTTCCTTTCCTAGACTCACAGTTCAAGATTTCCTTGCCTAAACACACCCGTTTAGGACTTCCTTGCTCAATCAAACCAGAAAGATACTTCCTTGCCTAAACTCACAATTCAGGACTTCCTTGCCCAGACAACCTAGCTAGAGACTTCCTTGCTCAAACTCTCAGTTTGAATCTTTAGCTCCTTATATAGGGGGAATAAAAGAGACGTTGGAAACTTACTTGCACAAGTAACTTTGCTAAAGAAGCGGTTTCCAAGAGAGAGACATTAGAGTGGGTACAATTAGGATCTTCAACTTCTGAATAATCTTTTTATCCATTGTGTCTTTCTCAAGTAAGGAGACTATAGGCATGCTTGAGTATACTTAAGAAACAATGTCAAATAACCTTGAGCCTAGCGCTAGAACCCTTAGTTGACTTTCTCCATAATTCTGACAGTTTGACAAGATGAAGCTACTTTACATAGAGTATGGACCAAAAGGCGTTTGTACTATGTTTCCAGCACATCAGAAGTTGAGTCAATAGGTGCTGAGGTTCTACGTGACAATCAGATTCTGATCCATTATAATCTTAGTTACATGCTTCTTCTTTATAAGCCATGTAATTGGGTCAGAACCAAGTTAATTACTAGCTTAATGATCATGCACACTTAAACAAATGTTAATATATCCTATTGTTGTTTAAGTATTTTGTTATCATTAAAAAAACCAGAAAAATATGGGTCAACCCGTATGAGCCATGGGTAGCCCACCTGCCCGAAAAATATTAAAATTTTTGATATAATTAGAAATTATACTTTCCTAATTCATAAAAAAATTATACAAAAGAAAAAAATTAAAATTGATTCCTAATGAAATTCTAGCTATAGTGTTAGTGAAGAAATATATAAACAATTTATACCTTATTTTTTGAGTTAATTCAGTTAATCATATTGCGATTTTGAATTCATTAATGATTTACATATGAACTTTTATCCTCATTGAAATTCTTTTTATTGCTAGAAACAACCAAGACTTCATATTTTTGATCGCGTCTCCGAGATTCTTCTTCATTTTAGAGGCGAGTAAAAAGTCAATTTTTTGTTAGGGATCCATGATTTTTATTTGCTTCGGGCCTCTAAATGGTTGGGGCCGGCTTGAAAATCTAAAATTTACATATTAACCCAAAATCTTAAAGAATCAAAATTAAATCAATGAAAGAATAATATATGACTTGATCTTTGAGTAGTAAAATATTAATATGTCAAGTGTGAGTAATAATTTTCAAATTAGACGGAAAAGAAGATGTTGAACACTTTATAAATGAGAGAAGACATTAACCAAATGATTAAGGTTTTCAGTTAATATGTAATTTTTAAAATTTATTTTAGATGACAAAATTTCATTGATATATGACATTTAGGGTAAATGACCCTCAATTTTATAAGAGATAACATAGTTTCACTTTATTTTTAAGAGTTTAACAAATATGTATATTGTAAAATAATTTTATATTATCGTCAAATAAAAAAATTTCACTCTATTACGTCATATCAATAACTTAACAATTTTCGTCGGACTTAGCGAAATATACAATTGTTATTTATTGAAGGCGTTAAATTAATTTATATTATCGACATAAATTTTTTTCTCTATATTTAATATGAATTTTTTTATAAAATAATTGGGATGTATATTTATATTTTGAAAAATAAGTTACTATATTATTTAAAATATAAATTTATATATAAAATGCCTGAGCTATTCAATATTTGTGGCTTCGTCTCTAAAGATAATACAAAAGAGATATTAGAGAATATATATGATTCAAACTACATCTTTCTCATTTTTTATATTATAAATAGTTTGATCATATATTATCCAAAGTACATATTTCTCATTTCTTATTAAATAAGGTTTTAGATATGTTACCTTTACTATTCGGTACCTTTGTAGCTTTAGTGTAAATTAGAATATAAATATATGATTAAAAATATAATTAATTAAAAGAAAATGAATAGTTAAAAAACACATAATAGTAAAGTCACAAAGACATGAAATCTCAAAGTCAGTCAATCCTTTCCTAAATAAATAGTAGTCTGCATCTTTGAAGAAATTACTCTCAACATCTAGAAAACAACTTTACAAGCAATATGTTCTACAACTTATGAAAGAAAACACTCTAACTTCAAATTCAAATTTTTTAGGTGTGCAAAAACACCAAAATAAATTTAAGAATCATTGAACAAGCTAAAATTCTAAACCTTTTTTAATTGTAATTTATTTACATTATATTTGAAACCATTTTAATATCCTTATATGAGAATAAAACACACGTATTTATAAGCACTTCATAAATTTGTAACTTTTCAAGTAATAACATGAATCCTTAAAAGGCTAGATTGTACTAAAAGGTTATATATATATCACTTCCATTCCATCAATACGCATATGGTCATTATAAGCTCCTATTTGACACCTTCAGAGACACAATCCATAAATCCAAACTTCAACTGTTCTTATGTAGCCTTCGGCTGGATCTGTGAGGTGATAGTTTTTTGTTAGTACTCTTACTGTCAACCAGTTCGGGTGAGATGCTTTTCAATGGTGGTTCTCTTTTGCTCCGACAGTTTTTTCAGCTCTGGTGGTGGATCGGCTCATGCTGCTTCAGTTCCGAAGTTTTGATGTTTTATCTCTTTCTTTCGGTTGGCTTTTCCATGCTCTTTTGGGTGGCTTCTCCAAAGATTACGAAAGCTCTTTCTCTGATGGATCTATTACAAGTTTGTATTTTTGGTGCTAAGTTGGTTTTTTGGGCTTTTGATTATCTGATTCGGCTTTAGATCTGTTGAGATCTGCAGGTTTTAAGATTTAAGAATTCTCTCTTTATGTTGACAATAACTTATTATATGCACCATTCTTTGAAATTGTTGTGTGATTGGTTTCATATTCGTATCTCTCAATTTGATGTTGGATTGTTGGACTCGAAAGAGTCGTTTTTCTTATTAGTTTTTTTCCAGAGGTTGTTGGTTTGTGAATCAGGTCGTGTTGACGGTTGGTTCATACACTATATTGAAAAGTGAATGCTCTCACTTGACTCTTTCTTTTGCTATTTGGTTTCGCGTCCGTAAGTGGATATGCTGGATAGTGTTTGTTGTGTGTACGCTTTTACTTTAGTTACTCTTATAAAACCACTTTTGTTGGTTTTGATCTTGTGTATACCCTTTTAGGTTGATTTTGTGGTGTAACTGAGTTTAGTTTATGTCTTCTCAGTCCTTTGTATTTTTTTATTTTATATATATTTGTCTTATTAAAAAAAATTAGTCTACAAGTTTGCAGTAAGCACACATCGATAGATGGCTTATACAAGCCTCTTCAACATTCATCTAGGCCTCTATAAATCTCTTGTGAGTACAACTTTCTCATTAGATGTTTTCCACGATGTCAAAACTAGAAAAAGCTAACCTGTACATTTGATGTTATCTCTATGTCTTGTGGCACTCCTCTCCATTAGAGGTCTTAGGAATTATGAAAAGTACTTTGAAATTGATTCAAGTCATTAAAAACAAGTTTCTGCATAATATTTTGTTTCATGTGTCGACACATCTGTTTTTCAGGTCGACACATGCAACTCAGTTTTGAAGCATGTAGCCTCTAGAAGGCTCAGGTCGGCACATGCATTGCATAGGTCGACACATACTGAAGCATTTCTATAATTGTAGAGATTCTTATTTTATGTGTCGACACATACGATTTATAGGTCGACACATTTGTTGTTGTTTTAAAGCTTGTAGCCTCTGACTTGTTTCGGTTGACACATACCTTCTATCAGGTCGACACATAAAGCCCAAATCTAATATGTGTGTCGACACATATGATATATAGGTCGACACATACTGATTGTTTTGGTCAATTTTGTAAATTTATTTAATTCAGAATAAGTCCTTGCCCTAAGTTTCCAAAAATATAAATACATCATGCATGCATCATTCATAACTTAATGATACCATAAAATTAACCTACATTTGCTCTTCATTTTCAACCTCTAATCTATGCATACACACTAACATTCCACTGTAACGATATTTTATTGGGGTTCCATCTAAACGATGTTTAATAACGTCCGATTAGTTTCTTGTGTAGCCGAAGATATTGTGTTGAGATTTGTAGGAGTCTTCATTAGAAAAAACCACGAGTTTGTCCTACAAGATCATTGATTGATTTGGTGGTTTTCTTGTAAGACAGTCAAGAGGTAATTGCCGCCAAGTGAAGTGCTTTGGAGATAAATAATGCTAGGGATTCTTTGGAGATAAAGAACGCAAAGGAAGTAGTGAGAGAACGGAGGATTACAATTGAGGTATTGTGTTGCAATAATTAAAATTGACGGTGCGCGAAATCTTTGGAGATAAAGTATACAAAAAAGTAGCAAGATCCAAATAGTCAATTTGCATCTATTGTATCTTGGTCTTTCTAAAGATCAAAAGAGGAGAAGGGGTTAAATCAACAACAAGCATTAGGTTTGTGGTATTGCTCTTGAACACTTCGCTTGTAATCAACTTTTTGCATAGTAAGAATTATCCTAATTCCACTTGAATTAGGTGCAGACGTACCCACACGCAAGGACGAAAGTGGAGAACTGTGAACACAAATCTTCGCGTCTCTTTTCTTATTTCTTTTACTTGCTTTAATATTCATCAATCAAATTTTCAAATGGCATTGCGTTATCAATTGAATTGTAAGTAATTTTTCAAACTGTTTTTGATTTACATCAAAAGTTGATATTGATTATAATCACTTTTGATTATAAGTGATTTTGTGTGTCAACGCAACTTGAAGGAAAATTCTAAAAATTCACTTGCACACCAAGTATTTGACAAATTGATTTTGTTTGTTTGAATATTGCCATTGGAAATAGCTTTACTAGTAACTTGTTATAAACGTTAAATAAGTTGTAAAGTGATTCAAGCGTATTAACTCAATTATCATTCTTATTCGATATTCTATTTTTTTCTTAAGTTTGCATATCCGACTTTTGAAAAACTCTTCAGCTTAAACTCTTAGAAAACTAATTTTTCAAAACAATAATTTTCTGGAATTTTAATTGGCCATTGTGATACGGTGGGAGAACTGACTTGAGGTTTTGCGTTTGTGTTCGCAAATATTTTGGTTTAGCAAGAGTCGCCACCGACTTTTATTTTATCCAAAAGGAAAGATAAAAAAGCACAGGAAATACCTTTGAGATGTTTTCTTGAGTTCGGGGGGTAGATTATGAAAAGGGAAGGTGCTAGCACCCTTTTCATCCATGGTTTTTCGTGGGCTCTTAGTTACTTGTTTAGATCACTTGCTTTTCTTTTGCAATTGTTTGAAATGGTGCTTCGTGTGGTTTTGAAAGTATTTTAAAAAGAGACCTTTGATTAGGCAATCTTTGTAATGATTCTTGTTCGTGAGAATGTATACAAAGATGTTTGTCTTTTGAAAAATGTTTCAATGTTTGAAAGTTATTTGGAAATGTTTTGAAATGTGTTCTGTGTTTTTTTGAAATTAGCAAGGATTGTTTTGAAATTATGAAGTAACTAGAAGCATTCTACCTACTCAAAATCCTTTCTTGCACATTTTTATTCCTTTGACATTGTTGATTTACCATTGATTTGGTAAACCACCCCATCTTTGGATGTTAAACGGGACGGGCGTGGGTCATCATATGACCATGATAGCAATGGTGCCAAGTATCTTAGCAAGTTTTAGGGACTAAGATCATTTGTTTTTAGGAAACATTTTGATAGCTTCATCGAGGGACTATGATCTTTTGTTTTGTTTTGTTTTGCCAAGATACCTAGCGTGCATACCATGGTCATTTTTTAGGCAACAAAGTGGGTGAAACCCTAGGGGTGCTTGTGTGCAATGTGTTGTCATTTTTTCATGCATTTTGTCTTGTATTAGGTCTTGCTATTTGTTTGATTTTTTTTGTCTTATCATACAAAACCCTAGTTTTTACTAAACAAGTATATAATGCGATAAATTGCGTAAAGTAAATATAAGCTATTACAACAATATTATGGGAAGGGGGATACAAGTTTTGAATGGGGAATATTGCTCAAAATAAAACCCTAATTCACTATTACAACCCAATTGAATTTATTGTACAATAAATAAATAAACAATTATTTAAATATGCAATAAGAATGTAAATATGCAAAAAAATGTTTTGTAATTGTTTTATGTATGAGAAAATAAAATTATCTAAGTCCTAAAAATAAGAAAAAATAATATTATTATTTTTGAAAGGGGAAACCCTAATTTTGTTTTAAAAGAAAATATGTTTTCTATTATTATTTTATTCATTTTTTGTTTAAGAAAAATAATAATTAATATAATACATGAATATTAAAAAATTAAATATTTGTGAAAATAATGTTTTGTGTGTATAAAATAATGAAATAAAATATTAAGTATTTTATTATTATTTACAAGTTTATTCAAGAAAATAAATTCTATAAACCTAATAAACTATTTTTATGCCAAAAAATAATAAAAATAATAAAATAAAATGCAAAAAATTAAGAAAATATTTTTGTGATTTTTTTAATGTTCTGAAAAAAAAATAAAGTCAATAAACACAAAAATAAAAAGAAAATATGAAAAATATCAAAATATGCCAAGGGAGTGCAGATAGGAAACAGGGGGGTGTGTGAAAAGCAACAGGCCCAAGGCGCCAGGCCCAACCAGCCTTCGTCCCTGACCTCCAGCCAACATCTAAACGCGCGGTTTGTCTTCAATCCTGTATCTTGCTCTAGCTTGCATAAAATCAAAAACTCATAACATAAAAAGTGTAGTTTGTAAACTCACGATTCCAATGATATAAAGTTTGTGACCTAACACTCAAAGATCAAGGAGAATTTTATCACCCCTAATTTCTGACCTAAAATTTTCATGAACTTCAAGCTTCAAATTCTCACTACTCAGTTAATATAAATAACAACTATGCACATGTACAACTTAAGTAAGTTAAGGACTACATTTTTGCTTCACAAATCAAAGCTTAAGGATGCCTAAATAAGGAGATAGAACTTTGAAAAATACCTTGTTCAGTTGAGTTTGGATATGGCAACGTGGGGGCTTTGAGTGAGGCCTGAATATTGTGTGAGCTTCCTTGAAGTTCCCTCAAGCTATCCCAATGCTCAGCTTGCCTTGAGGGTGCTTGAAACTTCCTGTAGAAGTTAACCTGCAACCTTCAAAAATGAAAATGGTGAAGCTTGAAACAGGGGTTACAGTTGCAAGACAAAGGCCTGGATAGTTTAGGTAGGATGTATGTAATATGTTTGAAGTCTTAAAATGAGAAACGCACGAGCCAATATTGATTTGGCAAGGGTTATGCAAATGATGCCCTGTTTGGGCAGAAAAATGTGATTTTGGTATTTGAGAGTGTTTGGGATGCTATGGATTTGTGTATTGGCTTGTGACAAGTTTCTGAAGATGTTTAGAATGAAGCCAAGACTTGCCTTTATCAGATTCACAAGCTTTTTTGACTTTTGCAAGTTTGCTTGCTTTTGAAGAAAGTTGAAATGACTATGCCCAAAGTGTTGTACTTGCTAGCTTGTGGACTGCAGAGGGTTGGTATACTTTGCCTGATGTTTGTGGATCTTGCTTGCAACAAAAGATCAGGTCCATGGCTAAATAAATGTAAAGTTGCAAAAAGGCTTGCTTTATCAAAGTAGTATTGTGAACTTTATGCCATTTTTGGATTAATTCATTATACAATGCTTCAAAGATCAAAATAAAGCCATTATCCATTGTGTTAGAATTCAATTATGGAGTGTAGAAGGTATTAGTACCTGTAATACCA